AAAGTGGTATGTCCTAAGTTAAAAATGCTAAATATATATACACTTAATAAAGCATTTCAAAACACATAAATTTTTAAAATGACAGACTGAAAGGAAAAAAGAATACACAATTGTAGTTGATGTCAATACTCCTTCCTCATAGTTGAAAGAACAAGTATATAGAAAATTAGTGAAGATACAGAAAACGAACAAAACTATTACCAGCTTGACCAAATTTACATTTATAGAACAGCAGAAGATAGATTCTTTTAAAATGCACAAGGAAAATTAAACAAGATAGGCCATCTTCTGAGTCATAATATAAGCCTTCACAAAGAAACTGTATTATCGAATAATAATGTGATCAAACTAGAAATTACAGAAATAGAGCTGAAAAAAATTGAACAGCACACTTCTATATAACCTGTAGGTCAATAGGAAATCTCAAGGGATGTTAAAAATACTTAGAACTGAATGAAAATAAAAATTTAATGTATCAAAAATTTGTGGAAATCAGCTAACATAGTACTTGGAGAGAAATATACAGAATTAAATGTTAACATTAGAACAGAATAAGTGTTTAAAATTAATTTATACTTCTACCCTAGAAAATAGAAAAAGAAGACATAATTAAATCCAAAGGTAGGAGAAGGAAGAAAATAATAAAGATTAGAGAAAAAAAAATTGATGAAATTGAAAAGAGAAAAACAAGAAAGAAAATTAACAAGACCAAAAGCTGATTATTTGAAAATAACAATAAAATTGATTTATTTTTAAGGAGACTGATCAAGAAAAATATAGGACATACAAATATTGCCAGGATCAGCATGAAATAACATACATAATATCCAACACTATGCATGTTAAAAAGATAGTAAACTTATGATACTGGCAAGTCTATACCTGTAAGTTCAGGAACTTAAATAAATTGGGCCAATTCCTTGAAAGACACAATCTGCCAAATTCAATCAAAAATAAGTAACTTGAATAGCCCAATATTGGTCAAGCAAAGTGAATCATAAACATTTGTAAAAAGGAATATTCTAGGCTCCGATGATTTTACTTGCAAAGCCTACCAAACTATTAAGGTTAAAATAGTACTGATTCTATACAACCTCTTCCAAAAACTAGGAAATTAGAGAATGCATTTCAAATAATTTCATTAGGCCAACATTTTTCTTATACTAAAATTAGACAAATACCTTACAATAAACAAAACCACATGCCAATATTACTTACAAACTTAGATCACCAAATCTTTAATAGAATATTAGCAAATGGAATCCAATATATAAATAAATACATAAAAGTAGAATACTTAACAACCAAATCAGGTATATCTCAAGATGCAAGGCTGGTACAACATGAAAAAAAATCAACCAGTGTATTTCACTATATTCACAGACTAAATATTGTTAAGTTGGCAATTCTCTCTACTTTTATCTATAGATTTAATGCAATCCCTATGAAAATCTGTGCAAGCTTTTTTGCAGATATGAACATACTGATTCTAAACTTTATATAGAAAATCATAGGAACTACAAAAGCCAAAATAATTTTTAAAAACAACAAAGCTAGAGTTCTCAGAAGACTTGATTTCCACACTTACTATAAATTACAGTAATCAAAACTGTGGTAGTAGCTAAAGAATAAGCTTGGAGTTAGGCAAGGGTTTTTCAGGTAGATGCCACAAAAACAACTATTAAAGAAAAAACATGTCAAATTTGATTTAATTAAGATCAAAACTATTTACTCTTCAAAAGACACTGTTAATAGAAAAAAAAGCACGTCACAAATTGGGAGAGATATTTGCAAATTACATTTATGACAATGAACTTCTATCCAGGATATACATACATACATACATACATACATACATATGTATATATAACAATTTAGATACATATATATGTATCCATACATATATATGTATATATAACAATTTATATATGTATATATATGTAATTATCCTGGATATGCATACATGTATATATATATGTTGATATACATATATGTTTTTTATATATACATATATATGACAATGAACTTACATCCAGAATGAACATACAAATATATGTATATATAAATTTATAAACATATACATTATATATAGAAATATAGGTATATATGTATGTGTATATGTATATGTATATATAATTATGTTATGTATATATTCATATATATAAAACTGAAATTTCAATGCAAAATTGGGGAAAAGAAGACAGATGTATTGCACATAAGCCTATGAAAGGATATTCAGTATCATCAGATCAGAGTTACGCTCCCACAAAGCCAAGAAATGCCAAAGATTACCTGCAACCACCAGTAACCGAGAGAGAGACACACAATAGTTTCTGCCTCAGGTCCTCTAGAATGAACCAACCTGATTTCAGGTTCCAACCTTCATCTCTGTGAGGGAATAAATTTCTGTTTTTTTAAGCCACCAAATTTGTGGTACTTTGTTATGGAAGATTCAGGAAACTAACATATAACAAATAACATTCTTCTATTTTGAAAAATGGGTGTTTTTTGAAACCATATTATTGACACTGTAATGGAGATTACCTTGCTACAATAATATAGCAACCTAATCCCTGTGGTCTGCTAAAGCTCTTACTAACCTTAAAAAAATTGTAAAAAATAGTCTGAATGCTATTTTTTAAATATATATTTATCTTTAAACAAGGTTACACAGGCTATTTGATAATTTGTGACAGTCAGAAATCAATTCCTATTCAATGAGTTTTCCTAAAGGGAAGAAAATGAATCATGGAACCTTTACCAGGCATAAAGCTTAGAAAGAATAAAAAGGCAGGTAACCCTGTCTGATATTAGCCGTCATCTTTGTCTTCCAAATGTTGCCAAAGAAGAAGCTGAAAACGCTCAACACAGCGTTAGTCTACGCATGTGCCTAAGGTGCTAACACTGGTTAGGAGAAAAGGGGCTTCCTAGCCAAAATTTTGCAAATTCTAAGCTAAATAAAATTAAAAATATTTTTATGAAAGGACATATGAGGTTCATCAGTGTGCTGATATATATCATGACACATTTAAACAGAATATAGCAGACTCTTTTCCATGTTTATTTTAACCTAGAGTCTTCTGTGAAGACAGTTTCGTGAAACTGAGCCTCTCACTTCAGGGGAGAAACAACTTAGAATAGTCCTTCTACTGATGCTTCATTGGGCCAGTTTGGAAGGGATGGGTCTCTACCTATTCTTCTAAGAATGTGACAATCACATTCTTCTATTTTTAAGCGTCTCACCTTTAAAAGAAATGTTACCTTTGACCCATAAATTATTTCCCGTCTCTACTGTGTATACTTTAGGATCTAAGATGTCCTATTCAATATAAAATTTTAAAAATCACACTGAGTAGTCTTTTATTCTTGATTCACCAGATCAGCACTACCATAATGCTTTATCTTCTAAATCATTTCTACTTTCTTTACCGTGGATATGAAGCCTATTTATTGGGGTGGAACCATAAGAAACAGCCGATATTCAACTTATGAAAGTGGCAATTTCATAAGCTTCAACCTAATACACTGACGTTATTAAAGAGTCAGCACAGTTTCCACAATGGTCGATTTATCAAAGAGCCTTAGCCAATGCAAGAATTTGGCTTAATGCTTTTATAAATAGGCTACATGGTTGACAGGAGAGATCACTTATGCTTATAAAGGATACCAAGTTGGCCAAGATTGACAGTATCTTGTAGGGCCAGGCAGGAATGCAAAATGATGCAATCAGTTTGACAGAGTAATGTGCACTGAATGGAATGAATTCCAATTAAGATACTTGCAAAGTTTTATTTATAACATGGAATAATTTATTTAATAAATGCAACAGAAATAGAAACTAAAACTTTTATGGACTGGACCACATAAAGAGCAATTTTAAAGTCACAGCCAATCACAGATTCAGGCTCTGCTGACCATGCCCAAATGGGCAGCCTCCAAGCCATTCATAGTGACCAACTATCTAGACCTCATCCCTTAGAGTTCAGCTACCATGTTGAATCAGATCAATTTCATTTCATGTGGCCTATAACTTTCAGGCAGTAAGACATAGTTCTTCTATGGTTATTCTTCTGTAACCCATTCAAAATCTGTTCAATTTTCAAGGGCCAGTTGACAGTCCAGGAAGTCCAGAGAGTCTCCGCTCTTATGTCTATAGGTCATAGACTATGTTGCTCAACTTAACTCTAGGTAACAATCACTTCTGGCTGACAATCGCATCAGCTTCTTTGTTTGTTAGGCTTGACTTCGAAGTCTGTAAGTTCTTTGAGGACAAGAACCAAGTACTGCACATGTTTTGTACTTCTGTCAGACTAATGTGCGATCAATAAAAACATTAGTAGGCTCCATCAAGCAGGACTTAATCACATTACATATCACAGCAATGAAAACAACTTTAACATGCATTAAAGTAAAATGACCATTGAGAATATTAAAAATTAAGAAATTTCTGTGAAGGCAGATGAATATTAAAATAGATACATATTTTATATCAGTATTACTGAAGTTGCTACTTAATATGTCCATAACTTTAAGTACATGCTTAATTTGAGTAACTATAAGGCTGGTGTTTAGTTTAGGAGAGTTTCATGTAAAAGCCTTTACTCAAAGTTTGCGGTTTAACTATATCTTTATATAAGATATAGTTAAGTACAAATATCTTTTACTGGACTTTTGTCTCTTAAATACTGAGATGCTGGGTAGAATATTTTTTCAGTGCTGAATTTTGTGACCATGTGATTTATTAGGCTTTTTATGTATTATCCTAATGTCTTTAGAAATTAATGTTTTTATAATCATTTATCAGTTGATTATTGAAATAAAGTTCTTATATTCCATTACATTGTGTATAATAGCATTACCCCTCAGCCACTGTGATATACATGAGTTTAAATTTATTATAGCTCAGTCCCAAATCAGTGTCACTGTTAAGAGTATGTGTTACAATAATGGTTATCTCTGGAAAACAATTTGAGTCTGACTAGATGTTGTTCAATCCCCAGGCCATGGTAAGTGTAACTGTGGCAAGTGCAAGTGTGACCAGGGATGGTATGGAGACGCTTGCCAGTACCCAACTAATTGTGACCTGACAAAGAAGAAAAGTAACCAAATGTGCAAGAATTCACAAGACATCATCTGCTCTAATGCAGGTAAGAAGTATACCCTGTGAAAATTCTTTTCTTCTTTTTTTTCATGTATGCATTGTGTTTTGAATACTCTGTGAAAATTCTTAAATAATCAAATTTTGTTCTTAATGGAAATATGTGGGCATGGAAAAATGTCAAACCTCTGAGTGAGTCTATTTTTTTTTTTTTTTTTTTTTTTTT